CTTGTAGAAGTGCTCCAAAATATCATATTTTATAAGTGATGTATTGCCAATTAACATTTTCGAAAAAAACAACAAAAACATGATAACTTATCGGGAAAATAAAATCAATTTATCTTCAAATAAAAGACACAGGTAGCGCCTTCAAAGCCCAACAACTGCACATCGATAACATGAATTCGTAACTCACATCTAACAACTGTGCATTTGTTAAAACCTATCTTGCCGTGACAAATTTCTTTTTCCCCAAAAGAGCAACGATATGACATGACTTTCTATCCAGCACATAGGGAGGTTGTTGGTTACCAACTCAAAAGGCGGCGACGATCATCGTGTTCAAAGGCCGAATGAATGGTCCAGGCTTGAGGTCTCAGTGCTTGAGCTATGGACACTCTCCAGAGATAGCAATGTTCATGGTCAAAATCTAAATCGCCCAAGAGTTCCAACTATTTCTGTTCATATCTCCATGGTTTTATATACAGCAAAAATCTCAAAGACTCGGTTCCTGGCGTATAATTTGTAAAGCAATATACATGCTAACCTGCATACGTAAAAAAAAAATAAAAAAAAAAAAAAAAAAATATATATATATATATATATATATATATATATATATATATATATATATATATATATATATATATATATATATATATATATATATATATATATATATATATATATATATATATATATAGAGAGAGAGAGATAGATATAGATATATATAGATATATATAATACCAACTAGGTGTACACAAAATGTTAACCATACCTTGGGTGGGTCGCGTGGGTGCACGCCTCACCCACTTGAATGTATAATTACGGCGTGGGGTTCGGGGCCCGCTTAAGGGCCCCGAAATTTTTTTGGATTCTAGTTGCTCTGTGGTGCGATCTGAGGCAATTTCTGACCACTTTAACCAATGTTTTTTGGAGGAAAAGATGGTGGTGTACTCATTGCCTGCCTTTATTGCGATGTCACATAAAAAAAAAAAATTGGTTTCGTTTTTGGGGGGGGGGGGGGGGCGTGGCCCCCTTTTGTTCCCCCCCGGATCCGCCCTTGGCTGACTGGGCCTGGGCCAATTACGCACAATGAACCATTTGCCGTATGGCCGTATTCGGAAATGTGAGTACTCGTACTCGTACTCAGAAGTACAAGTACTCGTACTCGGTAGCTCGGAGACTCTTTCTTGTACTCGGAGGTACAAGTACTCGTACTCGGCAGCCTAAGTACTCGGCAGTACTCGGTACTCGGAAAATAGTACTCGACTACAACACCGCAATTTGAGACTATTACATATAGCTATCATCACAAAACGTGGTTTTAAATTATGTTTGTAAGCCCCACGAATTGTGTTTAATGTAGTGCTTTAAAGTACACCTTCATGTTCTATTCAAACATTCAGATTTTTTTTTTTAAATTTTTTTTTCTGCTGATGCAAATTTCATGCACATAAGCAAAAGTGTAGTGTAACTTCACCGCCAAATTTGCTAGAATGTTGGATATTTGCTGTCGTAAATATTTACTTGATTATCCGTGGTATCAGTGCATGACTGTACACCAAAGTTTTTCTCGCAACGTTTTTAATGAGCGAATGTTGGGTTCACGATTTTACTAGTACCCCCAAACGGAACGGCGTCTTCCTAAAGTATAACAACAACGCCCTCATTATTTTGTCAGGAAATCATAAGTGTACATGTACTTCTCAATGCAATTATCAAAAAAGGAATGTCAAATAGCGTTTTAAAGGAGAAGATAATTGCATAAGATATGTTCACAAGTAAAACACGTCATATGCCCCTTAATTCTAAGTTTATCTGGCAGAACTTAAGAGTTAGGATGGGTAACTAAAATAATGACAACTTGTACCATGTTTCGAAGATGTTATACATTTTGTTACCTCATTATGACGTCATCATGTATGAAATTACAAACGATTTAAAGGCAAATTTTGACAAAAAGTTTGCGTTATATCTTTTGAACTAAATAGAGTATCGTGTTTGTTTTTTTAGTGAGGTTGTAGACTATGCCGTGAGAAACATTTCTTGTTCCCACACACAAAACCGCTTAACCTTTACTTCCGGTGTTACCGGAAATGCAATAAAAACTGAATATAACTCAAAAGAGCAAGGATTTTACTACAGACATATATACATGTATTATGAAAGTGTTAAG